TCAATCAGAAGCACCATTCGTTCTCACATGTAGGCCAAAGACCAGCCTTCTCAATCTGATCTTCTTAATATCTGATCTGCTTGCCAGTGCCTATCTCCCGACACAACAGTTTGCGGTTACAGCGTCATCATGACGATGAGAATGCTGAATGATCAGGAGGCCGTGGCCCGTCTTATTCACGCTCAGCATATCTTGCATTCTGTCGCGTGTGAACGAATAATTAAGTACGTCCTGGTGCCTAATTAAGTACGTCCTGGTGCCTAATTAAGTACGTCCTGGTACCTAATTTCGGACACGCCCCAGCCTCTCATTCTGATGAGCGCCTCTTTGAGACTTGGGGTGCCAATGTTGACACAACTTACGGTGACGAGAGAGATGACACGAAGAACAATAGTTTTGACGGCGTTGTCTCCAGCACACCATGGACTTGGTCTCATGATCTCCGTCATGTATAGGTCGTCTCCGCGTCATCTCCGCGTCATCTCCGCGTCATCTCCGCGAGATCGCTCAGATCCTGAACAATCTCTGAGAGGCACAGATCGAACATGCGCAGTTAAAACGTATTTTTAGTGCGAAGTGGTGCGAAAAACCTGTTTTGCATGATCAATATTGGGGGAACCGGCGATTCTAGCAAAGTTGGTTGAGGCGGGTCCTCCAGCCCACAGTGACCTCAGCACTGCTCTGCATCTTTTGTCAGAGTTCAATGCTCGTTCCTATGAACGAACATTGAACATTGAACAACGAACATCGGACAGAACGAAACGGGTGATCTGCCGAGATCAACAACGAAAATGACAGAGCAGGTCGCCTAGCAATCGCGCCCTTCAAAAACGCCGAACACGGGAAAGCATCTCCATGGATCTGTTTAGGATAAGTGTTCCCAAGCCGAGTGCAATTAAACCCTTTTCGTTTGAATTTAGGGTCAGAGCCTCAGCTTTATCCAAAAGCGGAGACCCACAACGTCGGCTGCTTGGCGATGGATTCAAATAAAACGCCCATAAAGCCGAGGTTTGCAAAGGGAGCCTGAGAACCAGGCCTACAAAGCAAGCTTTGCTCTTCATCGTGTTGGGGTTAGCTTCCATCATGGCCTTATCACGGGTCTAGCCTACCCAGAACACACAAGACCATGCCGACACACACGCAGGCCCATAGATCTCGTTCACCCTCATCTGCCTCAGTGAAATGGGTCTCTGCCAGTGTATGTGAACCTGAGAGGATATGGCACGTGTGTGGAGCACCATGGCGCTAAGAGAAGTGAAAGAAAGTAGGCTCGAGTGACATTTGGCTGGGAAGATGTTCAGCTTGCAGGAAGCTAAGTAGCTTCGTGACCTCTAAGCCCACCAACGCGGTGTCTAATAAGGAAGGAGAGCACTAACGTGTTACGGGAAACAAAATTGAACAAAATTGGGAGAGACAATACAAGTAGCTTGTGTTACTTAAAAATCTTCCAAAATCTGTGAGCAGGGAGGATTTTGATGCATTTTTCCATATTATTCTTGCCAAACAGTTCAAGAACGTAGCTCCGCGAAATAAGTTGAATGGGCTGGACAGAGGAAATGGCTTAACATCTCTGAAGTATACAAAACATTGGATTTCTCTTTCATTTTGACACATTTCTTCAGAAAGTTTGGAGCCGGAGTCCCCTCCCCACGGAGACCCCCACTGTAATAGCCTACCATTCTAATCTCTATGTTAATACTTTTAAGTTTCGAAGACGGCCTGCCAACTCCAAAAGCCAAGCTCGAAGGGCTGCCTGACAGCTGTCAGCTGGCCTGCTCGTTTCTGCGACACTGGAAACCCGCCAACTCCGAGCGATGCAGTACAATCATCTACAGAAAAGCCAAGGCGTCCAATGAGACATCCTGATTTTAACTTGCGGAAGATCAATGCATTTGCGAGGCAGAATATACTTGTTCCAGTCGCACGAAAGAGAAATTGTGATTTACTGAACAATTCCATCCATGTGGTAATTTCAGTTATAAGAACAACACAGATCCCTCCACATTCATCAAAAAACATTTCTTTAATTTAAGCATCGGTATACATTAACCACCGGCATTAATAT